TGGCCACCTGCCCACGGCGTGAGTGTCACAGGGAACTCCCGGCGGGCAGTGACCTCGGACCCCGTCTCGAGAAAGCCCCCTCGTTCAAGACGCACCATCAGCAAAGCCGCGAACCTCCAGCATGGAGATGCAGCCCCACCAGAAGCAGGGGCGTCCCGTGAAGTGTGCGGGGACGCAGCACGAGACAGCACCCCCAGCACCCATGCAGCCCACAGACATCACGGCCCCGGGGACTCAGATGGGCGGCTGTCGGCGTCTGGTGGCGGGGCTCCCTCTCCTCCCTGGGCTCTCGCCCGACTCCTACCACCAGAAGGCCAGCAGGGAAGCCCACGCTCTGCCGTCCGCGGGGCTCTGGCTTGTAGACTCCACCCCCCCAGCCCTGACAGTGACAGAGCCCCCAGAATTTAGTGCAGAAGATGGTATTTGTGAAAACAGCTGTGCAAGAGGCTGCTGAATTATAAGACTCGGGACTGGTTTGTGAGAATTTTCCAGAACAGGGGCCCAAAGATGGACACACAGCTCAGCGAGGTCCATCCAGGCACCCAAAGGGACACACATATGGACCCAGAGAAGCACAGGCCACGGCTGTTCGTCAGGGAGGCCCTGTTCCCCGTCCTGGGTCCCCTCCCTGAGGAGAGACACCCATCTGTGCTCCCGGCACCCCCACCCCACCCCACTCCACTCCACTCCCCTTCACACTCTTTGCACGATAAATAAATCTTGAAAAGAAAAAGAAAAAAGAGCCTGTGAACCGGGGCCAGACAGTCTAACGCACGGGTCAGTTCAGTCTCCGGAGGGAAATGAAATCAAAGCATAAAATGTGTAGAAGACTCAACGGACAGTTCTCCCAAACTAGATTTAAAAAAAAAAAAAAAAAAAGGACATTGACCTATAGGTGTCCCGGGATCTTTGAGAAAAACCCAAGCTGGATAAATACAAAGACTCTGGGGCCGGCCCGTCTGCAGAGGGCACCCGCTGGGGTCCGCCCTCACAGGGCCATCTCAGGAAGTCTTCACAGGAAGACTCTGGCCTCTTTTGGGGAGCAGAGCGGGTGTCATCTAGGATTTTCCAGGACAGCGTGTCACTGACCAGCGAGTCTGTTCTGGGAGCCACACTCCTCGTCAAGCCCTCTGAGTGTGGTATCGGCGACAGCAGGTGGATTGAGCTACGCCTGCTTGGTCGCTGCCCCCTCCCCCGGGGCCCCACTGAGGCCAAGACCAACGGCACCACCTCTGCTGCCTGGACTTGGAAGCTCACAGCACAGACAAGTGTGGAATCTCGGAGAACAAACCAGGGAAACCCGACGGAGCGACGGTAGCCGTCTCGCCCTCCCCTCAAGCACACAAGTCAGGCACAGTGATGAGCCCTCAACAAGCAGCTCTTATGGGCTCCCGAGAGGAAGGAAACACACAGCGCCCTCCCCCTTTGCCCGGCCCGCTACCCCGGGCGGTCGGAGTCCCAATGGCAGGACAGTGAGCTGGGGGGTCTTGGCAGAACATGGTGGGCCACTTGCTGAGCAGAAACACATTACTGGTTGGCGCAGTGGAAGCATCTAGACTCTGAAGAGTGGATGGGGCACCAGGAAGGAGGGAGCACGCATGAGTCTTTGTGAGAGTCCCGTGTAAATCTGCGGAAGGCGGCAGGGCCGTCTACACTCAGGGCAACACCACCGGAGGCTTAACGTTGAGCATCTGCCATAGGATTGAGAGTACAAGGGCACCTGGGTGGCTCAGCAGTTTAGCGCCACCTGCAGCCCAGGGTGTGATACTGGAGACCCGGGATCGAGTCCCACATCGGGCTCCCTGCATGGAGCCTGCTTCTCCCTCTCCCTGTGCCTCTGCCTCCCTCTGGGTCTCTCATAGATAAATAAATAAAATCCTAAAAAAAAAAAAAAAGGATGGAGAGTGCAGCCCCCCAGCAACCTGCTAAGACCCCATACAGCCACACCCAGGGAGCAGCGACCATACCTACGGTGAGGCCCGCTCCAGACCTGCCCTAAAAAGCCAACCCAGGACAGCACTTCCAGAGAAGACAGTTTGGCATCTGAGTCCCACCAAGAGAAGGAGCTTAGGAATCACTCTGAAGCCTCCACAGACCAGCCGAAGAAGGTGTAAAGCCAGGCTTGGCCACCTTCAAGACGATCATCCAGTGACTGACTCTCTGCCAGGAAGAACATCAGTAGCCAGTGAGCGAGAACACGCAGACTTCCTAAATGTATTATCAATCATTATTGTCAATAGACAATAAAAAAACCCACTAGACAAAAAGGGTATAGACAATGTAATCCGCAGTTAAAGGAACAAATCAATCGGCAGTAATGAAACTCGGGATGGTCTGGACACTTGGTTGGGCAAACGGTGGCCGTAGAGAAGCTATTATAAATGTGTCCCAAGAGTCGAAGGAGGATACGTTCAAAGAATTAAAGGAAAGGGTTATTGTCATGACTGAATGGAGAGGGGATGTCAGGCAGTTCAGTGGGAACCGGTGGGAAATGGGAATTAGAACTGAAAACACAACAGTGGAGATGGGATGTCCCCTGGGAAGTCGTCATGGCAGAGTGAAGACGGGGAATAAAGGGTGTGCGAGAGTGAGCGCACCTCGAGGGAGATTGTCTAACCCGAAGGAGAAGGAAGAGCTAAGAAAAATACACAGAGGGGCCCCCGGGGGCTCAGCGGTGGAGCATTTGCCTTCAGCCCAGGGCGTGACCCCGGGGTCCTGGGATCCAGTCCCCCATTAGGCTCCCCGCAGGGAGCCTGCTACTCCCTCTGCCTCTGCCTCTCTCTGTGTGTGTCTCTCATGAGTAAATAAATAAAATCTTGAAAAAAAAAAGAAAAGAAAAGAAGGGCCCCACCCAGGTGGCTCAGTCAGTTGGGCATCTGACTCTTGATTTCAGCTCAACTCATGATCTCAGGGTCATGAGATCGAGCCCCATATCAGGCTCTGCACTCAGTAGGGGGAGTCTGCTTGGGATTGTCTCCCTCTGCCTCTGCCTCTGTCCCTCCTCCACTCGCACTCTCTCTAAAATAAATAAATAAATCTTTAAAAAGGGGGGGGGGCAGAAAGAAAAACTAGCCTGTGAGCCAGTGCCAGACAGTCTCACACACAGGTTAGTTCAGTCTCCAGAGGGAAGAATGAAATCAAAGCGTAAAATATGTAGAAGTAAAAAAAAATAAAAATAAAATAAATTAAAAAATAAAATATGTAGAAGTCTCACCAGTTCTCCCAAACTAGATTAAAAAAAAAAAAGGACACCAACTTATAGGGGTCCCAGGATCTTTGAGAAAAACCCAAGCTGGATAAATACAAAGAACACCGTATCTGGGCACATACCAGAGGGATGAAAACCAAAGGACAGAGCAAAGCCTTCAAAGCAGTGAGAGGAAAATCACTTTACGGAGAAGAAACGGTGACAGCTGACTTGTCATGAGAAGTGGAGACCAGAGGACAAGGTGCTGAGGGGCTCAGGACAAACAGCGCCGATCAAGAGGTGTACATATAGGGGAAAAAAGGGGGAGAGAAAGAAAAGAAAGGAAAGTCCTTTGAAACGGTGAAATGAAACCTTTCCGGACACTCGGAAGCCAGGAGGGCGGCTCCGGTGCAGAGGGCACGAGCGGCAGGGGCGCGGGGGGTGGGGTCTGCAGGCAGGAGGAGGGCAGGCAGGTGGGCCACGCCGGCAGGTGTAAAGGCAGGTTTGTGCTTTCTCGAGAGACAAGTGACCGACTGACATGTGCGACTCCATTACTGGATCATGTCTGGATGTGTGGTCACCCGTGGTCGCCCCGAATCCTCTTCACGTGGCTGGAGCCAACGGAGGGGCGTGTGGAGGGCTGGCCTCACAGACTCGTGGCTCGTCCACAGGTCACGTCCGGGAGGGTCACGCGCCGTGCGCTGTCAGAGGATGCGGGCTGTTCGCTGTCTCAGCACCCACCACAGCGTGAGCACCTCTGTCCCCGCCCGCAGACTCGGGGGGACCCACCAGTGGGGGGGAGGGCCCGGAGAGACGGCCGCCCCTGCGACCTGGCACCAGCGCTGGTGCCCGTGCTGTGGCTGACGTGTAAGAGCAGAGGGCCAGGGAGTGCGGGGACGCTGGTCCACACCCCTGCCCCCACCTCCACCTCGGAAGGGACTCGGGGAAGGTCACACCTGCTCTGCGGGAGCCGGGCTGGGGGAGCACACAGCGTGGGCCGCTCACCCTCCCTGCCCAGCTGGGCTCCGGCTGCTGTGCCCCATCTAGGAGGGCAACTCGCCAGAGAGCTCGGGAGCCACACGGACCACACAGATGGGACTGACGCTTCACCTGTCTGTCACTCAGTCTCGTCTGTCCCGGCCGACTCGGGACCTGAGGATATGTCACCATGGAACCCCTGAAGTCCCACATAATCTGGCACCGAGGTCGAGGCCACGGACTTCGGGGTGCAACCGAGCAGCTTCAGACTCCTGCTGCTTCACCCGGTGGTGAGAAGGCCCACACGTCAGGGACTCTGACTGCACCTCGTGTAAGTGGGGTCCCCCCCACCCCTTGGATGGTGACAGGGATCAGTGACTAATCCAGAATGAGTGGATCCACGTGCAAGGGTCTGCACGGCACCCGGCACAGGGCTGGGACTGTGTGACGTGTGTGACGCGGCCACAGCCACCGGCCACTTAGCTCTGATCTGTCAGGAAGATTCTGGATCATGGAGTTTCCGAACCGACCCCGGTCTGGTGAACAGGACGGTTCTTGTGTGGATGGAGGACGGTTTATCAGCTCAGGGAGGCACCCCAACATCCCGATGTGCGGTCCCCTGTCCCCAGCTGACGGTCCCTCACCTTCCTACCCGGGCTCTGAATCCAGAACTCCCGGGGCCGCTGGGTCACGGCAAGCCTGCAGCTGACACGGGGTTTCCTGAACTGAGTCACTCGCACCAGGAACTCCAGGGAGAGACGCGGAGGAGGAGGAGGAAAACCATCAGGCGACTGGAGGAAGGGACGCCACAGCTGGGTATAAAGGCCACCAGGTAGGAGCGTCCAGATCAGCCTGTCCTCGTCCCCAACTCCACTCCAGCCCCACTCCACCATGTGCCACACCAGCTGCTCCGAGGGCTGCCAGCCAGCCTGCTGCGTGCCCAGCTCCTGCCAGGTGTCCGGCTGCGTGCCCAGCTCCTGCCAGGTGTCCAGCTGTGTGCTCAGCCCCTGCCAGGTGTCCAGCTGTGTGCTCAGCCCCTGCCAGGTGTCCAGCTGTGTGCTCAGGCCCTGCCAGGTGTCCAGCTGTGTGCCTGTGAGCTGCAGGCCCGTTGTGTGCTTTCCAGTGAGCTGCAAGCCCGCTGTGTGCCTGCCCGTGAGCTGCAAGCCCATCGTGTATATGGCCTCCCCCTGTCAGTCCTCTGGCTGCTGCCAGCCCTCCCGCCCCACCCTGGTCTGCACCCCTGGCCCCTGCGGCACCCCTAACTGCTGCTAACAAGTCACCTGGAACATCCATATCTGCTATTGACCTCTCCTGCCCTGTCTCATTCCTGAAGCACTGACGGAGCCACACTCCATAGAGGCTAGAATTCCCTCCTGCTTTTCCTATCCACGAAAGCTTAGTGATCTATTAAAAATAAATCTCTGTGCTCCTCAGCGCTGTATCTTTCTGTGATTTTGCCCTGAAGCTGCTTCTCCCTGTCATCTGCTTCCTTGGACAAGCCAGTGAGTGAGAAGTCGTCCTGTCCAAGGGCGGTTCTCCTGGGACAGTCACACCCTTCCGCATGTTGGGGAGCCCCTCTGAGACACGTGGAGACCCAGGCTGTTGAATCCGAATGGGGCGTTCTTTCCCACTGTTTCAAATGAGGACTTCGTGCATGGTTCTTGGGATCCTAGAAACCACCAACTTCCTTCAATGACAGAAGGAAGAGGCACAGCTTGAGTGACCCATAGTAGCTTGCAGTTCCCAAGAAGAGAGGTTCATTGTGTGACACCCCAAAGGTTGCACCAAGGAGCCAGGGTGACAGGGATACAGATCTCTGCTCAAGGAAGAAAGAGTTCCCTAAAAGTCAGAGCTACCCTGCAAGATAATGAGCAGCAAGAGGCTGTTCCAGCTTCTGGGTGGGGAGGGCTTGAAGAGAAGGCACATTTATTCCACTCTCTTACTAACAGATCTGGAATCAACCCACATGGCCATCAACGGGGATGGATCAACAAGGCACAGAGTCCTACAATGGAATACAAATCAGCAATTAAGAGGACCGCACTGCTTTTGCAACAACATGAACAAATCTCAAAAATATGATGTTGGTGAATGGAGTCGGACAGAAGAGCACCTGCTTCATGATTCCATTTAAGTGAGGCTCTCCGAAGAGCTGAGCTAATTTATTGTTTTTAAAAATCAGAACAAAAATAATAATAAAAAAAGAACAATGGCTGTTTCTGGAGATTTTGAGTGAAACTGAGTAGGTGGAGGAAGACACTTGGGGAGGATGGTGAGGTCCAGGGCCAGAGGGGTGGGCACAGGTCACATCCAAGACCCTGATAAGGCTGGGTGCATGGTCAAGTTGTGGGCCCTGATAGGGTTTGGGCTACTCAGGTGTTTGCATTTGTCAAAATTCATAGAGTGAAACACCTCTAAGATTCATAGGATTTCACACACAAAAGCACAAAAATCGAATTCCTGTTAACGATTCGCTTCCTAAGTGTTTGAGTGAAGTGTACTTGTTTGTCACTTACTTTAAAATGCTTAGAAAAATAAGATGTATGGATAAGAGGGGTGGTTTGATGGGCAAGTATCTGAGAAAGTAAATGAGGCTCAGTGTTAGCTATCGGTTCCAGGAGTTGGGTATGTGGATATGCACTGTTTAATTCCTTCAGCTTTTCTGTATGTTTGAAATTTTTCACAATAAAATGAAAGTAAAAATAGTTAAAAATAATTGTTGAGCTTAGTAGTTTATTTTTTTTTAATTTTTATTTATTTATGATAGTCACAGAGAGAGAGAGAGAGGCGCAGAGACATAGGCAGAGGGAGAAGCAGGCTCCATGCACCGGGAGCCCGATGTGGGATTCGATCCTGAGTCTCCAGGATCGCGCCCTGGGCCAAAGGCAGGTGCCAAACCGCTGCGCCACCCAGGGATCCCAGCTTAGTAGTTTAAAATAAAATTTTCCTCATAAAAAAAATAGAAGCCAAAATGGGATTCCTGCTTTGGATAGGAAATTAAACCAATAGCCTCCATGCTGTGGCAACCTAATATTCCAAGTGAGTTGGGGTGCACACAAAGAGAATTTGGGTACCCAGCATTCAAATGGAATGAGGGTAGACTATGGATCAGTCAAATACCCAGAGTTTCAGGTGGTTGTGGGAAAGCCATCACTCCAAGAGAGCTGACGCTTCCGTTCAAGATGGCGGGCTGAGCCCACCAATCCCATCTCCACCCTCCCAGGACCCACTGTGCGGGAGAAGCCAGCTTACGATGGGTGAGGGACTCAACAAATGCAAAGGGAAGCAGAGGCGAGTGTGCTCACCCCAAAGCAAGGCAGAGGAGGTAGGAACCAGTGGACCCTGGAACATGATATCCCCTGCTCCTGATGAGGCCCAGTGGAGGAGGAGTGTCCTCAATGGAAGGGAACAACCAGGGCCACCAAGGCAGGCACCCCCCCCCCAAGGCAGAGTGTCTAGCAGTCCCACTTCTCCCCAAACACCACCAGTGTGTACCTCTAGGACAGTTGAGCACCTCAACCAGGAAGGGCTGAGGTTCCCGGGGAGCTGTTGTCCCCCACAGGTGCATAGCTCTCATTCTGGCTTCTGAGCTCCCAACTTTATTATTCCCGAGACCACCACCTCCAATCCCAGAGTGCCACGTCAACTTCCCCACATGGGTGAGCTTTCTCTAACTCAACACAGGCTGACACAGGTGGAAAAGGAGCCCAGACCACCAAGAACCACTCCCATCCTTACCCCAGCACATGACCAAAACCAGTGGCACAAGAAAGAAAGCCTGAGACAACAGATATAAAAATACAACCCAGAGGAAGCATATAGTTTACAAAGCAGAAATCACCTTTTAAATTAAAGTCAAAATTAAATTTAAAAATCTTAAATATAGTAGGACATCAAGAAGATATTAGAGCCAGAAAGCAAAGGCAAGAGGCTTTGAAAGGGAACAATTAGAAAACAAATGCCCCAGAAGTCATAGATATCTAATGTGTTGATGATATTTAACATTAAACAGAGGAGCTTGAAGATGACATGAGAAATCCCTGAGACTTAGGACAAAATGTTGAAGAGGTAGAAAGTACGAGGGAAAACAAGTCAGCATGAATGACCTCCCCCAGGAGTACGGGCTCTGCTCTTGGGGGGGGAGCACAACGAGGACACGGGGGAATGAGGAAATGCATTCCTAGAGAGGAACACATCCCACAGTAGAAGATACAGCCTCAAGGTTGAAAAGACTAAGCAATATGCCAAGAAAAACGAATGGGGAAAAACCCAGATACATCCTGTTGAAACCGCAGAGCATTAGGGATAATAAGTGGTTCCCAAAAGCATCTGCAGAGAACTAAACAAACAAAAGTCATCTGCAGAAAAATAAAAATCACATTGGCATTAGACTGCCATTAACGCACTGCATATGCTACAAACTTCAGGAACGGCGCTCACAGAGTCGTGGTGACTGGAATCCAGCCTGTGCTTCCACACATGAGCAACGCTACAAATAAACAGATGATTGGAAAAATACATAAACAGCGTGTAAATGAGCAGCGAGCACGACAGCACGTTATTGGTAATAGATGTAGTAAATAAGCCTGTTTTTCTAAAACTAAGTGACATGTATTTTCTCGTGTGGTCATCTGCTTTTCAGCATTTTTTAAGGCGTTTTTTAAGGCAGTGAAAATCACATCTGAAATAATAAAATGTCTGGTTATAAATTAAACCAAAGGGTGAAAGACCTGTGCACCAATAACTATAAAACATGCAGCAAGAGCAGAAGACAACGAGCATACCATGTTCATGGATGGGAAGACTTTACATTATGGTGGCAGGACTAACCAAAGCGTCATGCAGATTCAATGCAATCCTTATTAAAACCCCAAGAGCCGGGCAGCCCGGGTGGCTCAGCCATTTAGCACCGCCTTCAGCCCAGGGCGTGATCCTGGAGACCGGAAAGACGCTGTCGGACCCACAGGTAGGAGGGCCTGGAGGAGCGGGACTGGGATCCGGAGAGCAGGCTGGGCCAGGGCTGGGGCGCCGGTGGCACGGGAGGCAGTGGCTAATGGGGACAGAGCACCCTGCGCTCACGGCCAGGGGGGTGGGTGCCCCACACACACTGACACACGGAGAAACGCTCACCCCCCAGGACTCGCCCGGACAGCTCGGGCTGCTGCAAGGACGGCCTGCGCTCTGCCCCCACCTGACCATGGCGGCCCGGCCTAGTGCGGCCTCCCCTGAAAGCTGGGCCCACGACCCCCAGCTCCTTGCACCGATGTGCCCTGCATGTTTCCGGAGAGACGCCGCGGCCACCTCATCTCTTTGGGGGCCAGGGGCCTCACCCCAGAGTGCCAGTCACAGGCCTAGGGGGCCTCGCCAGCGACAACCTCCTTCACGTGCCCTCACTGTCTCACCATGAACCCCGGGTGGCCGCACGGGCACCAGCTCAGCAACACGTCCACGTCTTGGTCCCCCCGCGTCACCCTCATTAATACAATCTGCCTTCCTCGATGGTCACCTGGCTTCCGCACACCATAGCGTGGGCATCCCGACCACCCAGGGGAGCGGGGGCCGCTCCAGGCACCTGCACCTGCCTCGACCCTGGAAGGATGGGCACTGGGCCTTGGCGGATAGAAGCCACAGCTCACCACACTCCCCAGAGAGGCCCCTCACCACCTCCAGAAGGGGACCCCAAGACGTGGGCAGCCCCCCGCCCCCGGGCTCCCTGCATCACCGGGCTCCTGGGCGCGCACACTGCCTGGCCGCTCCTCCATCCCACTCCCCTGGTGACACCAGGCTCCCTCTCTGGACCCCAAGGCCGCCACCACCACAGCAGACCAGCGTCCCCAGCCCAGACCCCGAATGCGGCACCAGGACGGTCCCCACTCCCTTCTAGGACCTTCCGCCCCAGGGTGGGCAGCCTGAAGCTGGCGGGCCTGCCCCGGCCACCTGGAGGGGCTCCCCTGGCCCTGACCCAGCTAGGTTCAGCCTCCCAGGGGGCAGATCCCCGCCCCCAGATCCTGGGCCCAACGCAGGCAGTCGATGTAGCTCACAAGCACCCCTGCCCCACACCCGGGACTCGGGCAGGCTGTGCCTCAGCGCTGAGACCCTGCAGAGCCGCCTGGCTCTGCAACATGGAGGACCGTCCCTCCCGAGTCCTTGGGCGGCCGCCTGGGCTCCACAACCCCGAGGACCCACCCCTCGAGCGCCTGTGGGGCCGCGACAACCCCAGGGACCCTCCAATGGGGCCCTGCCAGCCGCCTGGGCTCCACGACCCCGGGGACCCTCCGCCTGGGCGCCTGCCCGGCTGCCGTGGCTCTGCCTCAGTTTCCCCATCGGTGAGGTAGAAACCACAGTTGTTGTCACGGAGCTGATGTGTACAAAGCTGCTCAGGACAGTTGCTGGCATAGACCTGTGACGCATGTGTTTGCTAAAAATAAATACAGCTCACAGCCATTCAATGGTTCCTGGACTCGGGAGAGGATTATATCCCCAAATAAAGACGATCCACAAATAAACGGACAATAAAATATGTGTGTGTTTCCACCACGTGCTGAGGAGCATGGGGATGAATAGTGGGAAGCCCCCAGGGAGACGCTGGGAGCAGGGGTGAGGGCGGGATGGGGACCACTGACCCGCCGGGGGCACCCAAGAGCCGAGCTCCCTGCCGGGGTGCGCGTGACCCGGAGCCTCAGGCACCTGCTCCCACAACAGGAAAAGGCCTTTCAGGGCCTCATGATGGACAACACGCCTCCCTGGGGTGTATATAAGCCCAAACACCCAACACTTCACACACTCACAGCCACACCCGCACCGACACACTCACCTGCACCCACACCCCGCCCCAGCACCCACACCATGGCCACCTCCACCCTGTCCGTCTGCTCCAGCAACCTGAGCTACGGCGGCCGCGTCTGCCTGCCCGGCTCCGGCGACTCCTGCCCCTACTCCTCCTGGCAGGTGGACGACTGTCCCGAGAGCTACTGCGAGCCCCCGTGCTGTGCCCCGGCCTCCTGCCTGACCCTCCTCTGCACCCCTGCGAGCTGCGGGTCCAGCCCCTGCCCACCAGCCTGCCCCGGCTCCTGCCAGCCCTCCTGCTGCAGCTGCTCCCCGTGCCAGGAGGGCTGCTGTGTGTCTGTCTGCTGCAAGCCCGTGTGCTGCACCCCTGTCTGCTGCACCCCTGTCTGCTGCACCCCTGTCTGCTGCAAGCCCATCTGCTGTGAGGCGTCCCCTTGCTCAGCCTCCCCCTGCTGCCAGCAGTCTAGCTGCCAGCCCTCCTGCTGCAGCTCCTCCCCCTGCCAGGAAGACAGCTGTGTGTCTGTCTGCTGCAAGCCTGTCTGCTGCACCCCCGTCTGCTCCACCCCCATCTGCTGCAAGCCCGTGTGCTGCACCCCTGTCTGCTGCAAGCCCGTGTGCTGCACCCCTGTCTGCTGCAAGCCCGTCTGCTGCACCCCTGTCTGCTACCAGGTCTCCCCCTGCTGCCAGCCCAGCCCCTGCAGACCCTCCTCCTGCGTGTCCCTCCTCTGCCGCCCCGTGTGCAGGCCCGCCTGCTGTGCCACCCCCTCCCCCTGCCAGCCCAGCTGTCGCCCCCAGGGATCCAGCGTGTCCCTACTGTGCCGCCCCGTGTGCTCCCGCTAATGGGGCACATGCCCCCGCGGCGCTGGGCTCAGGCCCCACCCAGTGACCCTGGGCCTCCTGACCACCCCTCAGCCCAGCCCTCACCTGTGCTAGGTGGCTGCCCCCACCCACGACGGAGTCCCCCTGGGTATCCACTCTCCTGAGCTGACTTCACCTCCTCCCTCCCAAGAACCCTGACCCTGCGGCTCCCCGGGGCTCCTGCTCCCAGGACGCACCTCCACCTGCCCTGGGTCACCTGCCTTTCCTCCCAGTTCCTCTGCTCAGGTCACTTGGCCTCGCTCTCCAACCTGTAGGCCCCTCCCCAGCACCCCAATAAACTCACTTCACCGGCTGACCTGCTTCCTTTCATCTGACTCTCACGGGGGTGGGGTGCCGGGGTTTGGACCCGACAGTGGTCTCTTCCCGCGTGAACATTACTGGGAGGAGGGATGAGAGGTCCCCAAGGGACGGGGCCCAACTGCTCTGGGCGGGGCCGCGGGGTGGGACTCACGGCGTCGCACGGGACAGTCAGGGCTGCTGGGCCCCGTTGGGTCCCCGGGGCTCCGAGGCTGGCCACCTGCACACGGGGCACGACTTGGGGGGCTCAACCCGGGCCCATCTCCACCCACCGCCCAGCTGGGCAAAGCGGCCCAGACAAGCCGGCCTGGGGGCCGCAGGCAGCACAGACCCTGGGGCCTGGGGGCCTCCTGGGGTCCCCCTGAGGTCCTCCCGCGTGCTCTGCTCATCCCGTGGAGAGGCGGCGGGCTGGGGGAGGCAGTGCTCCAAGCCTCCAGAGGAAACGACTAGGTTGGAAGCACAATCTTCAGGGTGGGTGGCAGGAGCCCAGGGTCCCGTCCTGTTCCTGGAGGGCACGTCCCCCAGGGCCAGCAGGACACTCTGGGGAATCCGAGCTCTCCCCCTGCCAGCCTCCCAGCTGCTTTGGGTCTGTGTCTTGGGAACCCCCGTGACCGTGGACAGCACCTTCCTCTCAGTCCAGGAGGCGGTTCCCATCACACTCAGGAGAGCCCTTCCCACGGCCTCGGCCGCGTCCTCGCAGGGTCCGGCGTCCTGCCCAGGGACCATGTCCACAGGGAGGCCTCAGTGGTCTTACCTCCTCAGAGCTGCTCGGAGAAACCGAATAAACCTGCCTTGAATTAACCCCGAGGACCCTGGGCCCTCCGTGGGCCATTTCTAGCTGAATGGCCAGCCCTCCCCGCAGGGCGCCCGGGGCCCCGCTGCCCGGCCCATCCTCGGCCTCTGGGCCCCTCCAGGCACGTCCCTCTCCGGCCTGGCCCGGGGCTCCCGCCCGCAGTGTCAGGGCCAGTCCCAGGCAGGGCGGCCACGGCCACGGCCCGGGCACCCCCGTCCCAGAAGCGGGCCCTGGTGGGCAGATCCTCAGGGACCCGGTGGCGGCGCCCTAACCCTGGGCACCCTCCCCTGCAGGGAGCCCGCAGGACGTGCCCTGAGCGGGGAGGACGGGAGGGGAGGCCCCAGTCGCCCCCGACCCAGCCCCGCACTGCGTGAGTCCCCTGCAGGGTGGAGCCTCCCGCCCCCCGGGGACCCTGTCTGTCCCTCACACACTCCCCCGAGGCCCCATTGTGCCCACCCTCCCGCACCCGGCCCTGACCCAGCCTGGCCCCGTCCCCGAAGTTAGTCTCACCCTGTCCCGTCTCCCGGGGACTGTCCCTGCAGAGCTGGGCCCTGGGCTCCCACACACACCTCCGTCCTGCCCCGCACCTGAGTTTTCTGGGGCCCTGCACCCTGAGCCCGCACCCCCCACCTGCTGGGGCGGTGAGACCTTGGGCTGCCCTGACGACCGGCCCGGGGCCTGTCCTGGGTGTGAAGGGAGCCCGGGCCTCCTTGGGCGCCCCTTCCCGGGGCGGGGACAGCTCTCGGGGTCCCCAGAACTGGCCTGATGGCCTAAAATCCACCCTCCAACCCTCTACGCAGCGGGGCCTTGGCCACCCCCAGGGACCCTGAAGCCTCGGGCCCCCTGCGCATACTCTGGTCACAGCCCGTGTCTGATGGCAGCCGCGAACTCTCCAGCAAAGCGCATGTCGCTTTCCTAGGTCTGGGGCCCCGGGGTCCCGCTGTGACGCGCCATCCTTCCTGCCACACGGCCTGGGATCCCCAGCAAGGGCCGCCCGCCTCTGGGAAGCTGTGCGGGAGCGTCAGGCCCTGCCGTGCTGTCACATAATCCTTGCGGGACTCTGCGACACGGCCGCCCTGGGGTCCCATCTTGGGGACGGCCCCTGTGTGGCCAGGGGATGGCAGATCGCTGGGGAAATTCAGGAAGACTCGGAATCCGGCAGCGGGCAGACGGGCAGGTGGCCAGGTGGGCCCCTGATGTGGGCACAGCGACCTTATGCCAGGGGGGCGAGGCCCCGTCCTCCTTCGCCCGCAGACCTGGGGGGCGGGAGGCGACGGGACCAGAGGCAGAGCTGGAAGGCTGAGGCCCTGCACCGGGGAGCAGGGCCACCAGGCTGAGGGGGCAGGAGGGCCGTGCCCAGGACCCCCCAGGGGGCGGCCCTGCCCACACCCTGACCTCAGCTTAGGACGCTGAGACATGAATGTGTGTTGTTGTGAAGCTCAGGGGTGTGTCACCCGTTACCGCAGCCTCGGGAAGCAGAAGCGGATGAGTTTGATCAAACCTTCATATTTCTACCCACTCTGATCTCAGGTGTCACTGAGACAAAGTAAAATAAAAATTATGGTAAAAATAAATTAAGGGCAGCCCGGGAGGCTCAGCGGTTTACACCACCTTTGGCCCAGGGCCTGATCCTGGAGACCCGGGTTCGAATCCCGCGTCGGGCTCCCTGCATGGAGCCTGCTTCTCCCTCTGCCTGTGCCTCTGCCTCCCTCTGTCTCTCTCTCTGTGTGTCTCTCATGAATAAATAAATAAAATCTTAAAAAAAAAAAAAACCAAGAAACTTTTTCTCTGCAAATGAAAAAGCTGATCCTCAAAATCATACAGAATTCATAGGGGTGGAGACTCCAGTAAATACTGTGAAAGAGGAGGAAAGGTGGAGGGTTCATCATTCCTGATTTCAAACTTAGTGCAAAAGTACATCCGTGGACCTGCTGCGGTACTAGCGTAAGGACAGACCTAGAGACTGAAGGAATAAGATTGAGAGTCCAGGGGTAAACCCATGTATTTACGGCCGATTGATTTTTGACAAGGGTTTCAAGACTGGTCAGTGGAAGAAGAAACCGTCTTTTCAACAAGAGGTGCTGGAGAAACCAGATTTCCCCCACGCAATTTAACACAGCTGGGTCCCCCCACCTCACCGCACAGACAACAATCACCTAACGATGGATACGCATCCCGAGAGTAAGAGCTAAAACCAAAATATCTTAGAAGAAAACAAAGGGGAAACACTTTGTGACCTTGGATCTGACCATGGGTTCTTAGCTACGATGCCAAAGGCAAGAAGATCAAAAGAAAAAAATACGCTGCGCTTCACCAAAATTCAAAACTTTAGTGGCTCAGAAGACACCATGCAGAAAGTGACGGGGAATCTACAGCCTGGCCAAAATATTCGCAAATCGCGTACCAGAGAAGAGCTGAATATCCAGGACCTTCCAAGGAACGCACACGACTCGGCCACAAAAACAAAAGCAACTGGATTTAACAGCAGGCAGAGGACAGTGAAGGGACATTTCCCCCAACACAGCTGTGCACACGCACGGAAACGTGCTCCACGTTACTCGTCACCGGGGAAATGCAAATCACAACCACTATGAAACACTACTTGACGCCCACCGGGACGGCTGTACCTTGAAAAGGAAGAAAGAGAAGGTGAGGGGAGGTGGGTGAGGCGAGGACGTGGGGATGTGGAGAGTCCGGAGCCCTCGAACGTCGCCAGCGGGGGAGCAGACGGTGCACCTCTGGGGGGCACACGGGCACGCCCCGTACACACCCAGAAATTCACTCCTGAGAATCCACCCCCAAAAGTACAGAGGGGATTCGGATGTTCTTGGCGGCGTCATTCACAGCAGCCGAAAGGGAAAAACCACGCAGGGGTCCCTGGACGGGGGGACGGATACAGGGAACGCGGTCCATCCACCCGGCGGGGTCTTCCCACCCGTGAACCCAAAGAAGCCCTGACACCTGCTACATGGGGGAGCCCGGAGGACACGACGTGGAGGGAAGTGAGCCGGCCGCGGCCGGAGAGACGCTGTCGGGCCCACAGGTAGGAGGGCCTGGAGGAGCGGGACTGGGAGCCGGAGAGCAGGCTGGGCCGGGGCTGGGGCGCCGGCGGCACGGGAGGCGGTGGCTAATGGGGACCGAGGCCCTGTGCTCACGGCCGGGGGCGGGTGCCCCACGCACACTGACACACGGAGAAGCGCTCCCCCCCAGGACTCGCCTGGACAGCTCGGGCTGCCGCAAGGACGGCCTGCGCTCTGCCCCCACCTGACCACGGCGGCCCGGCCCAGTGCGGCCTCCCCTGAAAGCTGGACCCACGACCCCAGCTCCTTGCACCGATGTGCCCTGCATAGCCACGGCGTCTCCATGGAAACACGGGCCACCTAGTCTCTTTGGGGGCCAGGGGCCTCACCCCAGAGTGCCGGTCGCAGGCCCAGGTGGCCTCACCAGCGACGACCCCCTTCACGTGCCCTCCCTGTCTCGCCGCCAACCCCGGGTGGCTGCACGGGCGCCCGCTCAGCAACATGCCCTTGTCTTGGTCCCCCCGGGTCACCCTCAGTAATATAATCTGTCTTCCTCGCTGGTCACCTGGCTTCCGCTCACCTTGGCGTGCGCATCCCGTCTGGGATGTGGGGCTGCTCCAGGCACCTGCACCTGCCTCGGCTCCGGAAGGATGGGCCCTGGCCCTCGGGGGATAGCAGCCACAGCTCACCATGCTCCCCAGAGAGGCCCCTCACCACCTCCAGAAGGGGACCCCAAGGCAAGGCAGACCCCCCTCCCGGGGCTCCTGGGCGCTCACACTGCCTGGCCGCTTCTCCATCCCACCCCCCTGGTGACACCAGGCTCCCTCTCTGGACCCCAAGGCCGCCACCACCACAGCAGACCAGCGTCCCCAGCCCAGACCCCAAATGCGGCACCAGGACGGTCCCCACTCCCTTCTAGGACCTTCCGCCCCAGGGTGGGCAGCCGGGCGGCAGTCACGACGTGAAGCTGGCGGGCCTGCCCAGACACCTGGAGGAGCTCCCCTGGCCCTGCCCAGCAAGGCTCAGCCTCCCAGGGGGGCAGATCCCCGCCCCCAGACCCTGGGCCCAACGCCGCCAGACCCCTGCCCCACACCCGGGACTCGAGCAGGCAGCGCCTCTCAGCCCAGCCCCTGGGCTCCTTGACCCGAGGACCCTCCCCCTGGGCCCCTGCCCGGCTGCCGTGGCTCTGCCTCAGTTTCCCCATCGGTGAGGTAGAAACCACAGTTGTTGTCACGGAGCTGATGTGTACAAAGCTGCTCAGGACAGTTGCTGGCATAGACCTGTGACGCATGTGTTTGCTAAAAATAAATACAGCTCACAGCCATTCACTGGTTCCTGGACTCGGGAGAGGATTATATCCCCAAATAAAGACGATCCACAAATAAACGGACAATAAAATATGTGTGTGTTTCCACTGCGTACTGAGGAGCATGGGGATGAATAGTGGGAAGCCCCCAGGGAGACGCTGGGAGCAGGGGTGAGGGCGGGATGGGGACCACTGACCCGCCGGGGGCACCCAAGAGCCGAGCTCCCTGCCGGGGTGCGCGTGACCCGGAGCCTCAGGCACCTGCTCCCACAACAGGAAAAGGCCTTTCAGGGCCTCGTGATGGACAACACGCCGCCCTGGGGTGTATATAAGCCCAAACACCCGACACTTCACACACTCACAGCCACACCCGCACCGACACACTCACCTGCACCCACACCCCGCCCCAGCACCCACACCATGGCCGCCTCCACCCTGTCCGTCTGCTCCAGCGACCTGAGCTACGGCAGCCGCGTCTGCCTGCCCGGCTCCGGCGACTCCTGCCCCGACCCCTCCTGGCAGGTGGACGACTGTCCCGAGAGCTACTGCGAGCCCCCCTGCTGTGCCCCGGCCTCCTGCCTGACCCTCCTCTGCACCCCTGCGAGCTGCGGGTCCAGCCCCTGCCCATCAGCCTGCCCCAGCTCCTGCCAGCCCTCGTGCTGCAGCTGCTCCCCCTGCCAGGAGGGCTGCTGTGTGTCTGTCTGCTGCAAGCCCGTGTGCTGCACCCCTGTCTGCTGCAAGCCCGTGTGCTGCACTCCCGTCTGCTGCAAGCCCGTGTGCTGTGGGGCCTCCCCCTGCTGCCAGCAGTCTAGCTGCCAGCCCTCCTGCTGCAACTCCTCCCCCTGCCAGGAGGGCTGCTGTGTGTCTGTCTGCTGCAAGCCCGTCTGCTGCACCCCTGTCTGCTGCAAACCTGTCTGCTGTGAGGCCTCCCCTTGCTCAGCCTCCCCCTGCTGCCAGCAGTCTAGCTGTCAGCCCTCCTGCTGCAGCTCCTCCCCCTGCCAGGAAGACAGCTGTGTGTCTGTCTGCTGCAAGCCCATGTGCTGCACCCCTGTCTGCTGCAAGCCCGTCTGCTGCACCCCCTCCTGCTGCAAGCCCGTGTGCTGCACCCCCGTCTGCTGCAAGCCCATCTGCTGTGAGGCATCCCCTTGCTCAGCCTCCCTCTGCTGCCAGCAGTCTAGCTGCCAGCCCTCCTGCTGCAGCTCCTCCCCCTGCCAGGAAGACAGCTGTGTGTCTGTCTGCTGCAAGCCCGTGTGCTGCACCCCTGTGTGCTGCAAGCCCGTCTGCTGCCAGGCCTCTCCCTGCTGCCAGCCAAGCCCCTGCAGACCCTCCTCCTGCGTGTCCCTCCTCTGCCGCCCCGTGTGCAGGCCCGCCTGTTGCGCCCCCTCCCCCTGCCAGCCCAGCTGCTGCCGCCAGGCCTCCAGCCTGTCCCTACTGTGCCGCCCCGTGTGCTCCCGCTAATGGGGCACATGCCCCTGGGGCGCTGGGCTCAGGCCCCACCCAGGGACCCTGGGCCTCCCGGCCACCCCTCAGCCCAGCCCTCACCTGTGCTAGGTGGCTGACCCCGCCCACAATGGGGTCCCCCTGGGTGTCCACTCTCCTGAGCTGACTTCACCTCCTCCCTCACAAGAACGCTGACCCCGCGGCACCCCTGGGTTCCTGCTCCCGGGACGCACCTCCACCTGCCCTGGGTCACCTGCCTTTCCTCCCAGTTCCTCTGCTCAGGTCACTTGGCCTCGCCCTCCAACCTGTGGGCCCCTCCCCAGCACCCCAATAAACTCACTTCACCGGCTGACCTGCTTCCTTTCATCTGACTCTCACGGGGGTGGGGTGCCGGGGTTTGGACCCGACAGTGGTCTCTTCCCGCGTGAACATTACTGGGAGGAGGGATGAGAGGTCCCCAAGGGACGGGGCCCAACTGCTCTGGGCGGGGCCGCGGGGTGGGACTCACGGCGTCGCATGGGACGGTCAGGGCTGCTGGGCCTGGGTCCCCGGGGCTCCGAGGCTGGCCACCTGCACACGGGTCGTGGCCTGGGAGGCTCTGCCTGGGCTCATCTCCACCCACTGCCCAGCTGGGCAAAGCGGCCCAGACAAGCCGGCCTGGGGGCCGCAGGCAGCACACCCTGGGGCCTGGGGGCCTCCTGGGGTCCCCTTGGGGTCCTCCCGCGTGCTCTGCTCATCCCGTGGAGAGGCAGCGGGCTGGGGGAGGCAGTGCTCCAAGCCTCTAGAGGAAACGACTAGGTTGGAAGCACAATCTTCAGGGTGGGTGGCAGGAGCCCAGGGTCCCGTCCTGTTCCTGGAGGGCACGTCCCCCAGGGCCAGCAGGACACTCTGGGGAATCCGAGCTCTCCCCCTGCCAGCCTCCCAGCTGCTTTGGGTCTGTGTCTTGGGAACCCCCGTGACCGTGGACAGCACCTTCCTCTCAGGGCAGGAGGCGGTTCCCATCACACTCAGGAGAGCCCTTCCCACGGCCTCGGCCACGTCCTCGCAGGGTCCGGCGTCCTGCCCAGGGACCATGTCCACAGGGAGGCCTCAGTGGTCTCGCCTCCTCAGAGCTGCTCGGAGAAACCGAATAAACCTGCCTTGAATTAACCCCGAGGACCCTGGGCCCTCCGTGGGCCATTTCTAGCTGAATGGCCAGCCCTCCCCGCAGGGCGCCCGGGGCCCCGCTGCCCGGCCCATCCTCGGCCTCTGGGCCCCTCCAGGCACGTCCCTCTCCGGCCTGGCCCGGGGCTCCCGCCCGCAGTGTCAGGGCCAGTCCCAGGCAGGGCGGCCACAGCCACGGCCCGGGCACCCCCGTCCCAGAAGCGGGCCCTGGTGGGCGGATCCTCAGGGACCCGGTGGCGGCGCCCTAACCCTGGGCACCCTCCCCTGCAGGGAGCCCGCAGGACGTGCCCTGAGCGGGGAGGACGGGAGGGGAGGCCCCAGTCGCCCCCGACCCAGCCCCGCACTGCGTGAGTCCCCTGCAGGGTGGAGCCTCCCGCCCCCCGGGGACCTGTCCGTCCCTCACACACTCCCCCGAGGCCCCATTGTCCCCACCCTCCCGCACCCGGCCCTGACCCAGCCTGGCCCCGTCCCCGAAGTTAGTCTCACCCTGTCCCGTCTCCCGGGGACTGTCCCTGCAGAGCTGGGCCCTGGGCTCCCACACACACCTCCGTCCTGCCCCGCACCTGAGTTTTCTGGGGCCCTGCACCCTGAGCCCGCACCCCCCACCTGCTGGGGCGGTGAGACCTTGGGCTGCCCTGACGACCGGCCCGGGGCCTGTCCTGGGTGTGAAGGGAGCCCGGGCCTCCTTGGGCGCCCCTTCCCGGGGCGGGGACAGCTCTTGGGGTCCCCAGAACTGGCCTGATGGCCTAAAATCCACCCTCCAACCCTCTACGCAGCGGGGCCTTGGCCACCCCCAGGGACCCTGAAGCCTCGGGCCCCCTGCGCATATTCTGGTCACAGCCCGTGTCTGATGGCAGCCGCGAACTCTCCAGCAAAGCGCATGTCGCTTTCCTAGGTCTGGGGCCCCGGGGTCCCGCTGTGACGCGCCATCCTTCCTGCCACACGGCCCGGGATCCCCAGCAAGGGCCACCCGCCTCTGGGAAGCTGTGCGGGAGCGTCAGGCCCTGCCGTGCTGTCACATAATCCTCGCGGGACCCTGCGACACTGCCACCCTGGGGTCCCATCTTGCCGACGGCTCCTGTGTGGCCAGGGGATGGCAGGTCGTTTCCTAAATTCAGGAAAACTCGGAATCCGGCAGCGGGCAGACGGCCAGGCGGCCAGGTGGGCCCCTGACGTGGGCACAGCGACCTTATGCCAGGGGGACGAGGCTCAGTAGTCCTTCGCCCGCAGACCTGGGGGGCGGGGGGCGACGGGACCAGAAGCAGAGCTGGAAGGCGGAGGCCCCGCACCGGGGAGCAGGGCCACCAGGCTGAGGGGGCAGGAGGGCCGTGGCCAGGACCTCCCGGCGGGCGGCCCTGCCCACACCCTGACCTCAGCTCAGGACGCTGAGACATGAACGTGTGTTGTTGTGAAGCTCAGGGGTGTGGTCACCCGTTACCGCAGCCTCGGGAAGCAGAAGCGGATGAGTTTGATCAAACCTTCGTATTTTTTTTTTTAAGATTTTATTTACTTATTCATGAGACACAGACACAGAGAGGGGCAGAGACACAGGCAGAAGGAGAAGCAGGCTCCATGCAAGGATCCCAACGTGGGATCTGATCCCGGGTCTCCAGGACCACAACCTGGGCCGAAAGCAGGCTCTAAACCGCTGAGCCACCCAGGGATCTCCAAATCTTCATATTTCTAAGCATTCTGGTCTCAGGTGTCACTGAGACAACGTAAAATAAAAATTATGATAAAAATAAAATAAGGGCAGCCCTGGTGGCTCAGCCATTTAGTGCCACCCTCAGCCCAGGCCCTGATCCAGGGGTCCCGGGATGGAGTCCCACGTCGGGCTCCCTGCATGGAGCCTGATTCTCTCTCTGCCTGTGTCTCTGCATCCCTCTCCCTGTGTTTCTCATGAATAAATAAATTTAAAAATCTTAAAAAATAAAAAAAATTAAAATAAAGCCTCAGCTGCATCCAGCTAAGGAGTCGGGTCCAGCCACCCCCAAACCCCGGCCGAGGATGGAAGCTCTAACCCCCTGGGGGTCTGCCTGCCGTCCCAGCCACCCCAGGCCCCTGGGCACGGCCCCTGGATGCCCCCCCCCCCAGGGACTGAGACATCAAGGACCCCTGCGAGCTGGCCTTGCTGATACCCTGAGCCCCCCAGGCACCTGCCGCCTGTTACTTGTCCATCTGTCCCCCTCCCCCTCTTTCAGGGACCCCGGCCAGGCCCAGCCTCGGCCCCCGGAGGTGCCAATTATGAAGAGCCCTCAGGGGCTGCTGCCCGGACACTGAATAGCCAACAGAGGTGTCCCAAGGGCTCACGGAGAGGACTCCCGGCCCAGCCCCCCAGGCAGACGGCATGAGGGTCCGAGTGAGGAGGGAAAGGAAACGCAACAAGCTGCCCCCAAGGCCAGCCCGGGGCAGCCGCTCGCCCGGCACCACCACGGAGCTGCGAGGCCAGAGCTGCAGGGCCCCGGGACCCACAGCTTGGAAAAGGGACACACCCCGAGCTTGGGGCCGCTGCCTGGCCAGCACAGGCCCAGCCCGTCAAGGCCCAGGGACAGAACCCCTACGCCCAAGGCCGGCCCCTCCCTGGGCCACAGCCTTGCACCACGCCATGACCACGGTGACCGGGGAGGGACAGCCGGCCCTAACCCCGGACAGCGCCCTCCCAGGTATGTGTCCAGCCTCCCTTCATCTCTGCGAAAGTGGTAACAAATGCAAAATCACAGGGATCACCCGCCCCAGAGATGGGAACCACCGTTGAGGCCAGAACCCAAGCCCCCCTCCCCCAGCACCCCATCCCCAAGGCGGCGGCCACTGCACCCAGGCCTCAGTTCAACCCTGGCCAGAACCCCCCATGCCCTCCAATCAACAGGAATGTTGGACCCAGCACATGGGCAGGACTTTTTTTTTTTTTCCATATTGAATTGTTATTTATTTTAGGACATGCCATGTCAAAACAAAGCATCGGGATCCCTGGGTGGCGCAGCGGTTTGGCGCCTGCCTTTGGCCCAGGGCGCGATCCTGGAGACCCGGGATCGAATCCCACATCGGGCTCCCAGTGCATGGAGTCTGCCTCTCTCTCTCTCTCTCTCTCTCTGTGACTATCATAAAAAAATAAAATAAAAATTAAAAAAAAAAACAAAGAGTCAACCCTTGCCTTTAACAATAATATCGTATTATAAAAGCACTTTACAACTCCATCCCATCTTTGAGTGTAAGTTACTGGTATGTGGGCTAATGATTATCTGAAAGCATTTCCCTATTCAGACCCATAATCCAAGTGCTCTCTGAATATTACAAGGTGACAATAAGTGGGAATTGGAGAAGGAAGAGGAAAGAGGGGAATAAGGTTCTCCCAGTTTAGGGCTTTGTTGCAATGAGGGGCTGAAGGAGTATGAATTATTTTTGTTGCCTTTTCATCTTTATACTGTGTTAAGTAAAGCTTACAACGTAGAGTCAGTAGGCTTTTCCTGAGCTGTAACTCAGAAATTTTCTTCCTGCAAACAATGTATTTACGAATGTATTTATTAACTTACACAGCAATCTCACAATAACTAGTAAAGATTAAAATGGTGCACTCCTAGTATATTTGTTTACAGTGTTTTAAGGGAAATATATATTGCCATGGTGATGAAGCTCTAAATAGATTAGACAAAACATCTAAAAATTGAAAGTAGTTTTTTAAAAAAAGGCAAAGAAATAAATATCATCAAAGAAAAAAGATTAATTCTAGCTTAAATGTAAAACTAAATCACTGGTTAATTAACCAAACTATACAGATCTAATAAAAAGCAAAACCAGACTAAAAGACCCAACATTAAAAAAAAAATGCTAAAAAATAAGGCATAAGTCTGCATAATACTGAGTTATTTCCATTCTCTCCTTTCCCTCTTGTATGTATGCTTTTCCATATCTGACGGGCAGGACTTTTACGAGCTGGGTGGCATCTTCTGGAAAAATAAAGCAGCCCTAATGAGGGGTCCCTGAAAACCAGCTCCCAACACCAACAAGGAAGGGGAAGTGTCCTCAGTTACGCAGGACAACACGCACCAGGACCGTATAAAAGCCGACGGACCAGCACCTCACACACTCACAGCCACACCCGCACCCACACACTCACCCGCACCCACACCCCCACCCCACCGCCCACACCATGGCCGCCTCCACCCTGTCCGTCTGCTCCAGCAACCTGAGCTACGGCAGCCGCGTCTGCCTGCCCAGCTCTGGCGACTCCTGCCCCGACTCCTCCTGGCAGGTGGACGACTGTCCCGAGAGCTACTGCGAGCCCCCGTGCTGTGCCCCGGCCTCCTGCCTGACCCTCCTCTGCACCCCTGCGAGCTGCGGGTCCAGCCCCTGCCCACCAGCCTGCCCCGGCTCCTGCCAGCCCTCCTGTGGCAGCTGCTCCCCCTGCCAGGAGGGCTGCTGTGTGTCTGTCTGCTGCAAGCCCGTCTGCTGCACCCCCGTCTGCTGCAAGCCCGTGTGCTGCACCCCTGTCTGCTGCACCCCCGTCTGCTGCAAGCCCGTGTGCTGTGAGGCCTCCCCCTGCTGCCAGCAGTCTAGCTGCCAGCCCTCCTGCTGCAGCTCCTCCCCCTGCCAGGAAGACAGCTGTGTGTCTGTCTGCTGCAAGCCCCTCTGCTGCACCCCCGTCTGCTGCAAGCCCGTCTGCTGCACCCCCGTCTGCTGCAAGCCCGTCTGCTGCACCCCCGTCTGCTGCACCCCTGTCTGCTGCAAGCCCATCTGCTGCCAGGCCTCCCCCTGCTGCCAGCCCAGCCCCTGCAGACCCTCCTCCTGCGTGTCCCTCCTCTGCCGCCCCGTGTGCAGGCCTGCCTGCTGCGCCCCCTCCCCCTGCCCGCCCAGCTGCTGCCGCCAGTCCTCCAGCATGTCCCTGCTGTGCCGTCCCGGGTGCTCCCGCTGATGGGGCACGTGCCCCCGGGGCCCTGGGCTCAGGCCCCACCCAGGGACCCTGGGCCTCCCGGCCACCCCTCAGCCCAGCCCTCACCTGTGCTAGGTGGCTGACCCCACCCACGACGGGGTCACCCCGGGTGTCCACTCTCCTGACCTGACCTTCACCTCCTCCAACCTAAGAATGCTGACCCCGCGGCTCCCCGGGACTCCTGCTCCCAAGACACACCTCCACCTACCCTGGGTCACCTGCCTTCCCTCCCAGTTCCTCTGCTCGGGTCACCTGACCTCCTCTCCGACCTGTCCGCACCTCCCTGGGCACCCCAATAAACTCACTTCACCGGCTGACCTGCTTCCTTTCATATGACTCTCATGGGGGTGGGGTCCCGGGGTTTGGACCCGACAGTAGTCCCTTCCCGCGTGAACATTTCTGGGAGGAGCGATGAGAGGTCCCCAGGGGCCAGGGCCCAACTGCTCTGGGCGAGTCTGCGGGATGGGACTCACGCCCTGGTGCAGATGGTCAGGGCTGCTAGGCCCCACATGCGTCCCCGGGGCTCCCTAGGCTGGCCACCTACACATGGGGTGTGGCCTGGGGGGCTCAGCCCTGGGCCCATCTCCACCCACCGCCCCAGCTGAGCAAGCTGCATAGACAGGCCGGCATGGGGGCCGCAGGCAGCATAGCCCTTGGGGGCTTGAGGGCCTCCTGGGATCCCCCTGGGGTCCTCCTGCATGCTCTAATCATCCCATGGATAGGTGGCGGGCTGGGGGAGGCACTGCTGCTGCCAAGATGGGGTAACAGGGACTGGATACCTTCCCACCTGGGTCAACTCAGCCCTGACAAGACCCTGAAGCCAGCGTGTCAGGTCCGGGGCCAAGGAGCACAGGAGAGGCACAGCGGGGAAGGAAAGGCACAAGGTGCTTATCGCCGTTGGGGCTCTCACCCCCTGGAGAATATTTCCAGCCCCATGCGGGAGGGTCACCCCAGCGGAGCTCCAGGCACCCTCAAGCTCACAGATGGCCTTGGGTGCTGGGGGAGGCACAGCAGCCAGTGTTTGGGTCTGGGGTCCCCATCATGGTCCGGGGACACTCTGTACCCCCCCACCCCTCCTGTGCAGCCCGCGGCACCTGCTGGCATAGCGTCTCCACACTGAGTCCTTCCGGGGACATCCTAGGGCAGGACGCACAGACAGCACGGGGTCTCCGTGGGTGGCTTATTCATTCCCGCCTGGGTGTGTAAATTTCCTCCGCATCTCTTCACGGTGTGATCGCTCCCTTCCTCTTATTATTCTTTTTTAAAATTTGTCTTTATTGATGCCAAATGCACGTAACACCACGTCTACCGTGTTAACCATCTTCAAGCCTACAGTTCAGGGTGCTAAGCACATTCTTGACGTGGGGCGACCATCCTGCTGCCCGTCCCCAGACTCTTCCATTCTTGGGGAAATGAAGCCGCGTCCACATGGGACATAGACTCGCCTTTGCCCATCCCGCCGCCCCTGGAGCCCACCCTCCCTCCTCTGTCCCCGAAGCACCTTGGAGAAGGGGGGTCACGTCGTCGTTGTCTCTCTGTGACTGGCCTGCGTCTCCGGCCACTAGGTCCTCAGGCTTCACCCGCATTGGAGTCAGACTCGCTTCCTCTTTAAGGCTGAACACTGTTCCGCGGGAGGGACTCTGTTTGCTTCTCTACTCATGCCTCGGTGGACACTTGGGCCGCTTCGACTCTTTAGCTCTTGTGAATGATGCTGCTGTGACCACGGCTGTCAGAGGTCTCCTTGAAGGCCTGCTTCCAGTTGTCTTGAGCAAATGCTCGTGTAAGTGCTGGACCCTGTGGTAATTCTACTGTTCATCTTTTCAAGAACCATCGTACTGATTTCCACAGTGGCCGTGGCCAGTTCACGTTCCCACTCACAACCCCCAAGGGCTTCAATTTCTCCACATCCTCATCAACACTTGCTATCTTCTTCTTGCATATATATCATATACACTGTCTCCTCCTTGTGATAATATTTACATAAATATTATATATTATATATTTATCCTAATGGGTGTAAACTGGCTTCTCATTGGACTTTTGATGCGCATTTCTCTAATGATGAGCCATGTTGAGCATCTTTTCATCCGCTCATTGGTCACATACCTTGTACATCTTTGGAAAAATGTCTATTCAAGTCCATTGCTTGTTTCTCAATGGGGTGGTTTGGCTTTGTTATTGAGTTTTGGGAATTCTCTGAACATTTTAGATATGAATCCTTTATCGGAATGCGATTTGCAAATGTTTTCTCCCATTTCTCTGGGTTACCTTTTATTCTCCATTGGTATTGTCTTTTGAGGTGAAAATATTTAAAATTTTCGTGAAGTCCAAGTTTTGTATTTTTTGTGTTGCCTGTGCCTTGCTATCATATCCAGGACATCACTGTGGAACTCAGTGTTGTGAGGCTTTCATCCTGTGTTTTTGTTTTCTTCCAAGAGTTTTATGGTGTTAGGTCTTCCATTTATGTCATGGATCCGTTTTGAGTTCATTTTTGTGTGTGGTGTGAGGTAGGGGTCCTTCATTCTCTTGCATGTGGATAGTCGGTTTTCTTGGCACCATTTTTTGAAAAGACTGTCCTTTCTCCATTGAATGGACTTGGTAACCTTGTGAAAAATGGTTTGACCTGAATGTGAAGGTTTATTTCTGGACTCTATGCTATTCCATTAGTTTACATGGCTGCCCGTTTTATGCCAGTACCACCCTGTGTTAATTACCATCGCTTTGTGGTTTTGAAATCAGGAAGTGTACGTCCTCTGGCCTTCTTTTTTCAGAATTATTCTGACTATGCACAGATTCTGTGTGAGTTTGAGGGATTTAATGTTTCTGTAAAAAACATCATTGAGATTTCAATAGCGATTGTATTACGTCCGTACATTGCTTTCGGTAGTATTGACATCTTAGCAATCCTGAGTCTTCCAACCTGTGAACATGGAATGTCTTCCCATTGAATCACGTCTTCTTTACCATCTGTCAGCAACGTTTTTTAGTTTTCATCATACAGGGCTTTTGCCTCCGTGGTTAATTCCCTTTATTTTATTTTTTTTGGATGCAATTGTAAGTGGAATTGTTTTTATAATTTCCTTTTTGGGCTGTTCATTATTAGTGTATAGAAATGCAACTGATTTTTGTGTGTTGACTTTGTATCCTGCTGTTTTCTCAATTCATTCCTAGTACTAACAGGTCTTTAAGATTTTCTACATATAAGATCATAGCATCTGTGAACAGAGGTGATTTCATTTTTTCCTTTTTAATTTAGACTGCTTTAATTTATTTTATTGTCTAACTACTCTCCTAGAGCCTCCAGTACTGTGGTGATTAGAAGCAGTAAAAGTGGGCATCCTGTATTGTTCCTGATCTTAGAAGAAAAGCTGTCTTTAACCATTGAGAGTGATGTTTACCGTGGGGTTTTCACATATATATTTTATTCTGTTGATATAGTTCCTTCTATTCCTAATTTGTTGAGTGTTTTCATCATGAAAGAGTATTGAATTTTCTCAAATGCTTTTTCTGCATCAGTTGAGAGGATCGTCTACTTTTTTCTTTACTCTGGGAATGTGGGGTTTTCTATTGACTAATTTTCATATGTGGAACCATCCTTGAATTCCAGAAATAGATCCTTTTTGTTTGTAGCACATAATCCTTTGACTATGCTGCTGAATTCAGTTTGCTAGTATTTTGTTGAGGTCTTTTGCATTCATTGTTCATGAAGGATATTGGTTTGTTTTCTGTTCTTATCATGTCTTTGACTGGCTTTGTTATCAGGGAATGAAAACCTCATAGAATTAATGGGGAACTGTTCCACCTTGTTTAGTCTTTTTAAAAAAAGACTAAAGTGAACAAGGAATATTTGGGAAAAAACTGTGGACCTGATATAAGGCATCTGTTGAAAACTTTTTTTTTAATTTTTTTAAGATTTTTTTAATATTTATTTATTTATGATAGTCAGAGAGAGATAGAGAGGCAGAGACACAGGCAGAGGGAGAAGCAGGCTCCAGGCACCGGGAGCCCGACGCAGGATTCGATCCCGGGTCTCCAGGATCACGCCCTGGGCCAAAGGCAGGCGCCAAACTGCTGCGCCACCCAGGGATCCCGCATCTGTTAAAAACTTACAGCCAACACCATACCTAGCTATAAAAGACTGAGAGCTTTCCTGTAAAGATGAGGAAGAGGATACAGACGTCCTCTCTCACTGCTCCTACTCAACACATACTGAAGTCCTATCCATGCAACAAACAAGAAAAAAGAAATAAAAGGCATACATGTCAGAAATTAAGAAATACGATGGTCTCAGGGATCCCTGGGTGGCTCACCAGTTTTGCGCCGCCTTCAGCCCGGGGCGTGATCCTGGAGTCCCAGGATCAAGTCCCACATCAAGCTCCCTGCATGGAGCCTGATCCTCCCTCTGCCTCTGTCTCTGCCTCTCTCTCTCTCTCTCTCTCTCTCTCTCTCTGTGTGTGTGTGTGTGTGTGTGTGTGTGTCTCAAGAATAAATAAATAAAATCTTTTTAAAAAAACAGAAATACAATGCTCTCTATTCACAGAGGATATGTCTGTCCACATGGAAAGTCCCCAAGAATCCACACAAATCTCCTAGAACTATCAGAGAGTTTAGCAAGGTTGAAAGGTGCAAGTCTAAAATAATTAAAATTAATTGCATTTCTATATAGTAGCAACAATTAATTGGAATTGAAAAATTTTGTTTAGAGGTGTGATTTGCAGTAGAATAAATGATGAAAACTTAGGTATACATCTCAGAGAATATGGACATAATGAGGACTTTCAAAATACTGATGAGAGAAATTTAACAAGGTGTAAGTAAATGGAGAGCTAGACCATGTTCACAGGTTGGAATATTGTTATGGTGTCAGTGACCTCCAGCCTGGTCTATAATAGGTTCAGGGCAATCCCGATCCACATCCCAGTAAGAGCTTTCCGTCCATATGAGCAAGCTAACTCTAAAATTATTTGGAAAGGCAAAGGAGCTCAAGTATCGAAATCATTTGAAAATGAAGAACAAAGTTGGAAGACTTCACCACTTGACTTCAAGATTTCCTATAAAGTTACAGTAATCAAGATGATGTGATGTTGACAAAGAGATATAATTACGTAGACTAATGAAACAGGTTAGACACATAGATCCCCATGAATACAGTCAGCTGATTTTTGACAGAATTCAAAGTCAAGTTAAAGAGACAGAAGTGTACTGGGAACAACTGGACATCCCAAATGCAAAAAAAAAAAAAAAAAAACAGAGAAAGGAGACTTGACCCATACCTCACACTTAGTATAAAAATTCAGTAAAAATGGATCATAGACCTAAATGTAAAATGTAAACATTTTAAGCATTTAGAAGAAAACACTAGAGGAAATTCTTGTGAAATCTCTGTGTTCAGCAGAGTTCTTAGGCTTAAGAACCAAAAGCGTGATCTGAAAAAGAAGAAAATTGGTAAGTTGGTCTTTACCAACATTAAACCATTTTGCTCTTGAAACCACGCTGTGAAGAGCGTGGAGAGAGAAGCCACGGAGTTGCAGAAAACACTTGCAAGTCACATCTGAGCAAAGTACAGCTGACCCTTGAGCGACACGGGTGTGGACGGCTGGTGCCCACTCAGACGCGGTGTTTCCAGGAAATACATGTCCTTCCGTGCATGTGTTTTCTCTTCCTGTTGACTTTTGTACGAACATTTTCTTCTCTAGCTCACGAGTCGATGTGTCCATGGACTCTGCGTTGTCAGTAGGGCTTCAGGTCCACAGGGCGCTGTTAGCACTTAGGTTTCTGGGCAGTCAGAGCTCGAGGCGGTTGGCACCCTACACTCCCACATTATTCGAGGGTCAACTGTACTCATATTCCAAAATGCGGAAAGAGCTCTCAAAATGCAATGTCAAGGAAACCTAAAAAAGGAAGAGGCCTGAACTTTGAAGAAACGCCCAACAGACGCAGGAGATGCCAAATACGCACGTGAGAAAGAGGCCCAACACCATTACTCATCAGGGAGATGCAAACTGAAGCCGCAGCGAGACACCCTTAGACGCCTCTCAGAAGGGCCACCGGGGACAAGGCTGACCATGCCCGGCGCTGGCGGGGACGCGGGGAGTGGGGCGCTCGAACAGCGCCGGGGGGACTGCAGGGTCACACAGCCCCTGGGGACACATCTTGGCAAGTCAGCGCGGTAAGGAATCTCGGCTCGGCATTGGGCATCAGGGCATCGCAAACTAAATCCGGTAAGATGCCACCGCACACCAATGGCTAATATTTAATAATAAGTTTAAAAGCCTGGCACGTCCTGGGCCGGCAAGGATGCAGAGGCGCGGGAACTGCCCTGCGCCACGGGTGGGGGCGCAAACGGCACAGGCACCTGCAAAAGAGTTGGGCTGTTTCGTGTCACATCCAACACGGCCTCCCTGTGGCCCAGCTGCACCACCCCCAGGCGTGTACTCGGGACAAACAGACACTCCAGCCGGGCAAACGCCCGCACGCGTGGCAGCAGCTGTGTTCAACCCGCAAGCACGGGAGGCGCAGGAAGTGTCTTTCCCAGGACACGATGGCGGGGGTCCTGGTGCGTCCCTGCGGGAGGCCACGTACCGCCCAAGCGCCTGCTGCTCCAGTGAAGGAAGCAGCCCGGGCGGCTGGGCACCGGATGTAGGTGACTTTCTGGAAAACACCTAACTGTAGTGACGGAGTCGGGGCTTGCAGGGGCCTGGGGTGGAGGGACGGGGACGCAAGGAGACTTCGTGCGGCACGTGGCGGCCTTGGGCGTCCGCCAGGTCTCAGCGCTGCGCACGTGCCAGCGCCTCCCCTGTGTGTGTGTGGGGGGGGAGGAGGGCGGACGGGAGCACCTGCTCGGCTCGGGGAGGTCATGCGGGCAAAATTCCTCTCCCTGAAGAAGCTGAGGACCACAAGCTTTTGACAGATTTTTTTTTTTTTTTGCTCTTGATTATCTTTTATGTTCTACTTCTCTTCGTTTTTGTTGGTTGCGTTTTACCAGACCTGGTGGTCCCGAGATGCTTTCCCGGGTGGTGCACACGAGGCAGTTTCCAGAACAGCTGTAGTGTCCCAAGGGCTTTACCTTCCGGACCCTGGATGGCTCCGGGGACCCAGAATTGAACTCACCTCCCCCGGTCGCCGGGTTGCCGTGCGGTGCCGATATCTCTGGAAGCGCCTGGGGTGCTCGGGTTGCTGGGGTGTTGGGATTCAGCAGCGGGCCTTGACCCGGACGTTCCCCGCACCTCATCCCACGTCTGCTCAGCGGTCCCCATCTGAAGACCCCATTTCCCTCTGTTCGGAGAATTGTTCCCTGTGGTGGATCTTTCTGGAAATCTCCTGATGAAGGCTGGATTTGGACGACATCATCCACTCCCCTCGGGGCCTCCACATCCCACCTGCGAGCCCCTCATCCGCCCCCGACCGCCCTGGCCACCGGGCGCCCTTCGTGGGTGCAGGGGGGGGGGCGCAGCTCACGAGCACCCCGTGGCCCTCACGGAGGCTGTGGCCCTCGGGGCCCGCAGGCAACCGTCCCTCACCCGGAGGGCGGCCTCGGCGGGCTGCACGGCCCGAAGCTCTGGGGTCCGCGGTGCCCCCGGCTGTTTGCTCCCTGACAGACACCCTTGGGGTCCTCGGCCCTGACGGGTATTTTAAGGGCAGCAAGTCCTTCCTGTAAATACAGCAGAATAATAAGCACTCGCAGGACTCGGGCAAAACACCAACGAGGAAGGGGAAGTCTCGGGAGCCTGTCGCTGGACAGCACCCGCCGGGGCCGTATAAAAGCCGCCGGCCCGGCACCTCGCACACTCACACCCGCACCCGCACCCGCACCCACACACTCACCCGCACCCACACCCCGCCCCAGCACCCACACCATGGCCACCTCCACCCTGTCTGTCTGCTCCAGCGACCTGAGCTACGGCAGCCGCGTCTGCCTGCCCAGCTCCGGCGACTCCTGCGCCGACCCCTCCTGGCAGGTGGACGACTGTCCCGAGAGCTACTGCGAGCCCCCGTGCTGCGCCCCGGCCTCCTGCCTGACCCTCCTCTGCACCCCTGCGAGCTGCGGGTCCAGCTCCTGCCCACCAGCCTGCCCCGGCTCCTGCCAGCCCTCCTGCTGCAGCTGCTCCCCCTGCCAGGAGGGCTGCTGTGTGTCTGTCTGCTGCAAGCCCGTGTGCTGCACCCCTGTCTGCTGCAAGCCCGTGTGCTGTGAGGCCTCCCCTTGCTCAGCCTCCCCCTGCTGCCAGCAGTCTAGCTGCCAGCCCTCCTGCTGCAGCTCCTCCCCCTGCCAGGAAGACAGCTGTGTGTCTGTCTGCTGCAAGCCCATGTGCTGCACCCCCGTCTGCTGCAAGCCTGTGTGCTGCACCCCCGTCTGCTGCAAGCCTGTGTGCTGCACCCCCTTCTGCTGCACCCCTGTCTGCTGCAAGCCTGTCTGCTGTGAGGCCTCCCCCTGCTGCCAGCAGTCTAGCTGCCAGCCTTCTTACTGCAGCTCCTCCCCTTGCCAGGAAGACAGCTGTGTGTCTGTCTGCTGCACCCCTGCCTGCTGCAAGCCCTTTTGCTGCACACCCGTCTGCTGCACCCCCATCTGCTGCACCCCTGTCTGCTGCAAGCCCGTCTGCTGCCAGGCCTCCCCCTGCTGCCAGCACAGCCCTTGCAGACCCTCCTCCTGCGTGTCCCTCCTCTGCCGCCCCGTGTGCAGGCCCGCCTGCTGCGCCCCTCCCTCCCCCTGCCAGCCCAGCTGCTGCCGCCAGGCCTCCAGCGTGTCCCTGCTGTGCCGTCCCGTGTGCTCCCGCTGATGGTGCACGTGCCTCCGGGGAGCTGGGCACCACAGGGCACCCCCGCTCTCCCACTGCCTCCTAGGATTTAAGCCAGCAGGATCCCTGGGACTTGTCAGCACAAATGCTCACCCTTGGACCCTCACAAGCAGGCCTGAGCCTTTGCACAGCGTCATGTTGTGCCCAGATGCACCTGAGACAGCCCTCGCTGTCACTGATGGGTCCCCAGGTTGTTTGGGACATCCTGCCCCTGCCCTGTCTCTGCCCCTCCAACAAGTGGTTTGCCTCCCCCCCCAAACACACAGCTGAATAAACTAATTCCAGGGGCACCTGGGTGCCTCCGTCAACTAGCCTCTCGGACTCCTCACTGCGGCCCTGGTCACCGTATCTGGGTCTCGAGATCAGGCGGGCGGGTCTGCTTGGGGTTCTCTGCCCCTCCCCCTGCTCCCTCTCCCTCCCTCCGCCTCTCCCTCTGCCCCTCCCCCATCAATCAGCCTTGCGTCCATGCCTCTGTGGGCCTCTCTTCCCAACTGGTTTTGTTGCGTGTTTTCGGATCCTCTGGGCTCGCAGACCCTGGTGTCAGCAGTTGCTGACGAGCCCCATCCTGGGAGCATCTCCAAGGGCGCTGAGCTGACCCCCACCCTATGGTCCCCACTTGAGCCTCCAGGCAGTGCAGGGTGGCCCTGCTGAATGACAAGGACCCAGGTGGCCCCTTGCAGCAGGACCCCCGGCCCCAGGCCTGTCTCCCAGGCGGTGGAGCTAGGAGGAGGCTGAACCAGTGTCCCCTGGGGCCACCGCGGAGGCGGCGCATCTGTGCTCCAGCCAGCCTCCCGAATCCACCCTGGTCTCCCCATGAACTGCGGGGCTTTGTCTAGAGTGCCACCCTGCTGTCCCCAGCTGCACAGGCCAGCACAGAGCCCCTCCGCCCCAGGCCCACCCAGGCCGCCCTCGGGGTTCTCGCTCGGGGCCAGTCGGGACAGGCCCCGCGTGTCCTGGGGCTTCCTGGACCCAGGCCCCCCTCCTAGACAGAGCCACCTCCCAACCTGCCCTGCTGCCTCCCGCCCTCGCTCCCTGGAGGCCATGGACCCTGCGAGCCATTCCACGAAGGGAGGATGGTGGACAGCGAACGCCCCCCTTAGAGGACAGGGTAACCGGGTGCACACAGACGAGCGCCCTACAGTCCCCGTCCGCATCTGGAGCTGCCCAGGCAGGTGGGAGTCCTGCCCCCCGCCCGCCCCGGGACCCTGGTATGCAGGGAGGGAGGTATGAGGAACCAATCCTCCCTGCTGCTCTGGGGGCCAGAAGTCCCCTGGGACCCCGCCCACCAGCTCCCCTCTGCCCCCTGCAGCCCCGTTGGACGGTGGCCCAGGGAAGCCCCACCTGCGTCCTCGCCCTCCCTGGGCTGCTGCTGAAACCCCGGCCCCGCACCGGAAACATGATCCACGTGTGTCAAATACAGCACCGCAGGCGTCAAGGGGACACAACCGTGCGAAAACACAGTCACCAAAATGCTTTCAGAGCGAATGACGCACAGATGCAGGCTCTGCCACTGAGGCACTGACGGGGCGGGTTCTCCCGCCCACGGAGCAGGATGCAGATCTGCGATGGGGTGCGGCTGCCTGTGGCTTCACCCGTGACGGGCCTGGCGCAGCCAGTGTGGCAGCTGCATCACCTCTGCGTCCCTCGCCCAGTAGCGGGGTCGGCGTCAGGGCTCCGAGAGGCTCCCCGCCCTGAATCTCACCCACCGGGCCTGCCAGGAGCCCGCGGCCCCCTCAGGGAAAGCGCACACCCCGCTTTCACCAGGAAGGAGCCCCCAGCGCCGAGCCCCCGAGCGCCAGGGCCACCCGCTCTGCGGGGACGCCAGCTGCAGCCTGTCACCCACACCGGTGCCCTTTTCCTCCGGGCGACCCCCAGACGTGCAACACATGGGGTCCCCAGCCTGAACCCCGGCTGGCGCCCGCTGGACCCAGAGCCGCACCAAGTGGGGCTCAGAGGGATGTCCCCACACCTGGATGCGCAAAGGCCCAGGGGCCTCCACATGAGTGACACAAATGTTACCCCCGGGGGTTGCCCCCACTTCTCCCCATGGCTCGGGAGCTCACGCTCACACACGCTCGCACCCTCGTGGGCACGCACATGTGCACACACCTGCACACGCTCTGAGAGCACATGTTCACTCGCGGGGCACACCTGCCCGCCCCTGCCTGGCTGCGGACGGGGCCCACCCTGAGGATGCCAGCAGGAGGCCCCGGGCCTGAGCTCTGAGTCCACAGGGCCCCTTCCACCTTCTGCCCCACGCCCCCTCCCGGACCCAGAGGCACCCGAGGGTACTGGCTTCCGGGGCCCAACTCCCCCTCACTCCACGGGGCAGGTGGCAGGGGGGTCACAGAAACCCAGGCCCCCCCCGCCTTCAGGCAGGTCCAGGGTGTTAGGAGGCAGAGGGAGGGTAATATCCAAGGACCAGGTCCCCCCGTCGCTCCCCCAGACTCAGACTGGGGACAGAGAAGTAGGCGCCCCCTGCCCCCTAAGCCAGGAGCTCAGAATCCACCTAGGAGGGCAGGGGCGAGGGGCGACGAGGTGGGGTTACAGGGGTGGGGCGGGGAGGGATGGGGTGGGCCGCCGGGAAGCAGGCGCAGACCCCACGGGCCCTGGGGGTGGCTGATTTTCCCGTTTGTGAGTAGTGAACAGTAAGCGCCGCGGCCTAATGGCAGAGAATTTCTAAAAAGGAAACTGAGGTCAGGGTGGGGGGGCCGGGCCCCCCTGGTGGCGGTGGGGACGACCGGGTGGCCTCTTCGGCGCTGGGGAATGAGGGGTGGGGGCTCTGCGACGCTGTCTGGGGAGGCTAGGGGAAGGGCAGTGGTAGGGTGTGGGGCAGGGGCCCTCCTGAGCCTGCAGAGAGGCTCGTTCCCCTAAGGGCACATTCCGGGGCGCCGAAAGCCACGGAAATGAAAAGCCTCAGCAGCGCGACAAGTGCCCAGACGTCTGTCCCCAGCGGCCAGCGGCTCCCAGCCCCGCGCAGCTGTGAAGCACTGGGGGGGGGGGGCTCACCCTGGGTGCCCCCGCTTCCTGGGAGGTGCGGCTCGCGGTCCCCTTCCCGGAGGGGCCCCAGCACCCACCTGCAAGGTCGGCGGCTCCCCAACTGCACCCGGGAGGCCTCTCGCCTGCTCCCAGGCGCCGCCAGGAGGGGGCGTCGTGCCCACGCAGTGTCTCCCAGGAACCGCTTCGGGGCCTCCCAGGGGACCCCAACGCCCAGACTGCAGCCACCCTCCTGCAAGCTCCCGGTTAGAGGAAGTCTGCGGGCAAGGCTGGCGCCCCCGAGAGCAGCCCAGGAGGGGCGGGGGGCACGTCCTGCCCCCCAAATGCAGAAGAGGCCGCCCCCAGGGACCCCGCGCTGCCTGAGAGCTTTTAAAGTGCAGGTCTGTCCCTGGGGCCTCCTGGCTGCTTCCTCCAGCTGCGGGATGAAGGGCGGAGGCCGGAGTGCCCCGCGCACCCCTGCACCTGGCCCTCTGGGGTCCCTGCTGCCACCCTCCAGGTTTCCTCCTCCGGGGCCGCCTGGGCTGGTGGGCAGGCTGTGTGCATACCCAGGGCTGCGCACAGCCCCCTCCCCGCCCGGGTCGCGTGAATGAAGGAGACAAGGCAGGGGGAGGGGGTGCCCTAGACTGGGTTCTGGGCGCCACCACGCCCGTCCTGGGGAGGGGCCCACCTGTCCGTGCTCCCGGGTGACAATGCTCCGGGGCACCAGGCACAGATGAAGGCGAGACACTGCGATCCTGACACCTGCGGCCCAGACTTGTCGTCCTACCCCGTCCCCCTCCGCACCCCCACCCCTCACCCCTTCCCTGTACCCAGCCTCTCTGAGCCTACCAGTGACCCAGCCCCGCCAGGCCCCTTTGGGCTCCCGCAGAGTCCTGCCACCCTGGCCTCTGGTCTCCGTGGAGACGAGCTAGGATCACCCCATGCCACCCACCGCTGCTGCTCCCCCGACCAAGAACCCACACCCAGGACACGGCCCACCACGATGTCCCCCCCATGATGGCCCTGCACCTCACAAGCCACGCGGCCCAGAACCTCGGATGTCCTCCAGGAGCGAGCAAGCATCTTGGGGGCCCCTGCGCCAACCCTGTCCAGAGCCGCTGGCCCAGCTCGGGGGGAACAAAGGGGGGGGGGCCTGCGGTCGGAAGACTGGGGCTGCCTCCTGGGGTCACGGAGGCCAACAGTTGGAAAGGGCTTCTCACCCCAGAATCCTGCCTGCCAGGCCCCACCCCACCCTGCCTCCCGCCCTGAGCCCGGGGCCCCCGCCTGCAGCCCCGCCTCGTTCCGCAGAGGCCTTGTCCACGCCGCCGTCTGTCCCGCCTGGCCTGGGCTCTGGGAGACCTGCCCCACCCTCAGACGCACCTGCATCTGCGCAGCAAGGCCAGTCCCCAGCCCGCCGACAGCAGGTCGGCACCACGCGCCCACCGCCCGCAGGCATTGAACCCAATCTCCCCGTCGCTACAACCTGGGCCTGTGCGAGGGGTCTGGCAGCGGCCAGCCCCCCGAAGGGCCCCGTGAGTGCACACCAGCCCGAGGACCTGCGTGACCCTGGCCGTGGCTTCCCGGCACGCCCCGCCAGCTCTACCGCCCAGACCCGGGCCCCGCATGCAGCTCAGGCTGTCCGGCCCTCCGTCTACCCGCGGCCTCCTGACTCGACGTCCCACCGAGCCCTGCCCCCTCCTCCCTGCCCCCTCCTCCCAACCCCGGGCCACCCTGGCCTGGCTGCCACGTCCAGCCCCGAGTGAGCATTTTCCCTCCTCCCAGGCGCAGGTGTCAGGGTACCTTCCTGCCCCGCTGCGGTGGGGACGCCCGAAAACCCCAGCCGCCGCCCCCCGACAGCCTTACAGCGAAGCCTGCAGAAGGGCAGGCCGAGGGGGGGTGGAATCAAGCGCCCGTCTCCCCAGCGTGGAGCCCCCCACACCCAGAGCCAGGCCCGCCGGCCACAGGAGCCCTCGGCGACACGGTGCCAGGCTGCTGTCATCGGGGCCCCGGCCTCGGACTCGGGGCCAGGACGTCGGGAGCCAGGGTAGGGGCCGCCAAGGCGCCCGCGCTTCGCCCCCCACCCCGGCTCGCTCACACAGCCTCACGGCGGAAAGCTCAGGTGCCTCTCAAAACGGGACGGAATCAAAGTGGGTTTGTTTGTTTTTTTTTTAACCATTTGAAGTCCTGATGAGCCACGTGCAAGCGTGTTGGGAGGACTCCAAACGCAGTTCAATACGATTTACTCGACTTTTATCTTTCGTCCCGAGTCCCCGGTGTTTAGAACTGGGTCATCTTTTAACTCTGCAGCAGCCTTCGGGGCAGAGGGGGCGGGCTTTATAAATAACCTTTATTATTACTGTGCAGGTTGATTCCGTTCCCAGGGCTGCAGGAAGCATGAAGGTACATGTCGGTGACTCATCCCCCACCGGGAGGCTGCGTGTGCTAGGACAGCGGCTGGGCTCGGCGCCGCCCGGGGGTCCTTCTGGGGCTGCCGCTGCCCGCGGCCCACGGGGTGGTCTCCGTGCTTCTGTCCCCCGAAGCCGGGGGGGTTTTGCTTGGGAACAGGCTGACTTGGCTTCTGTGTGGTTTGCAAATCACGAGTCCCAAGGCAGGCGCTGCAGGCGGGAGCTCAGGGCGGGGACGCTGGGGGGGACCTCGGTCCTGCTCCCCGAGGCCTGCGGGCCTCTCCCCTGCGCCAGACCCCCCGCCAAGCATTCCAAACTGGGGTCCTCATGCCCCCGGGGCGTGCCACTGGGAACGAAGGGCCATCGGGCTATCACGGGGAGGGGACCGGGATGAGCAATCTGCAAATAGAACTGGAACCACGCTGCAGACCGGCGCGCGTGGGGCTCTGACACCCACGCCGCTGACCTCCTGGTGAGGCCGCTCGCGCTCAGTGGGTCTCCAGCCACCAGGCCTCCTTTCCCTGTCACTTTGTTCTTAATGTTAAATTTGATAAATAAAAGCTCTGGGTAGAAACTCCAGGAAGGGGGTCCCCCGGGGGGCTCCATCAGTGAAGCGTCTGCCTTCAGCTCAGGTCATGATCCCCGGGTCCTGGGATCGAGTCCTGCATCAGGCTCCCTGCTCAGCAGGAGCCTGCTTCTCCCTCTGCCCTTCCCCTCATGCTCTCCTGTCTCTCTCTCTCTCTCTCTCTAATAAATAAATAAAATCTTAACTAAGAAAAGAAAGAAACTCCAGAAAGATACAGTGATGTCATGGTCATTAGCGAGCCAGCAGAGCCTCCTAAATCGGGGTGGGGTGGCGGTGGGGCAGCAGACCCTCCCTCGGAGGAACCAGCCAGTGCCGCTCTTGGGGGCGCCCGTGTCTGAGTCGGGGGCCGTGGGACAGCAGGGCCAGCCCCGGGGCACGCAGGCAGACCTGGGTTTCTCTGCGTTTAGGGCCGCGGGGGGATGGCTCATTCCTGGAACAGGTGCAAGGCCTTTCCCCAGGACGCCGCACAGGTAAGTACTCGTGAAGCCCTCAGATGGCGGCGGGTTCTCACTTTGAAGCGGGTCCCCACCCTGTTGGCATTTCCACGGCGAGGCCTTCCCCAGCCCTTTCATCTCTGCCCGGCCCCCTCTGCCCGTCGCCTCTCCCAGGCCAACCGCTAGGGCCGCCCAAGCAAACCCAGGCCCCCAGCCGACCGCGTGCAGCTGTGCCCTCCGCCCAGCGCGATGCCCCCTTACCTGTGCAGGGCTCCCATGGCGGGGTGCCCCGGCCTGGGGTCGCTAGGGCCAACAGCGCCACACACAGCGTCAGCAGGACAGACATGAGGGGTCCGGGTCCCAAGCTCCATGCAGGGGCCCTGCCCTCGGCCCGCGGGGAGGCAGCTGCTCCTCAGACACCTGGGCCAGCCGTGTCGGGGTGGTGGCAGGGGACGGGGGCCCCGGGGCAGTCACTGTGGTGGCCACATGCCAGGGTCCGGCGACAGGGACAGAGGCGGCTGGGTGGCAGCCAAGCTCCTCCGGGCTCGGCGGGGGGAGGCGGGTGGTCCTGGCGGGTCGGGCTGCAGCCTAGCTCATCCCCGCACGGGCCTGGGTCCTGCCTTGCAGGTGACAGGTGAGAGCATCCCAGCGGCGGCACCGGGATCAGTCATTGGCAAAGCACGTTGTTCCCAAAGGAAAGAGAAATAGACGGTCGGGCCGAGAGCTGGGGGCAAACCAGAAACCCCGGAGACCCCGTCTGCTCGGGTGCTGCTCGCAGGCCGCTGCCCTAGGACAGCCGCCGCCGGGCCGGGCGCAGCGCCTCCGCCGGCTGGGCTGACAGGCAGTGGCCGTCCCCACGAGGGGCCGGGCCGCCAGGAAGGCTTTTATCTGGTGCCCGGCCCTCCCGAGGGTGTGTGGGTTTGTCAACTGTTGGGTTTCAGGAATTCCCCTCCGGAGGGAAGCCAGTCCTCCCCGGGAACAGCTAATGAGGAGGCTCGGGAGGCTCGCCTGGGGGAGGGGAGCGCCCAGCTCAGGCGGGAGCTCCACGTCGCGGCCCAGGGGGCCACCGGGGTCCCAGCACTCAGAACCTTGGGGACCGCAAGGCCGCCCCAGGCCCCACAGCTCTTCGGTGTGGCTGCTCCTCGTCCACACGCCCTGCCCTGCGCCGACCCCTCTTCAGAGCCTTCTGGGGCCTGCGGGGAGCTGCCCTGCGTGGGGGGGCCCTGCGCCCCAGTCCCACGTTGCTGGCTTTCCTGGTCACGGGCCCCTGAAGGGACGTCTGCATCATAGCTGCACGACAGTGTCTGCAAAGCCCCCGCCCCAGGTCTGCGCAGAGGCCTCGTGAGACACGGGTGTTTGTGACGGGGACGGACCCCCGCAGGGAGGGTTTGTTGGGGGCACTGGGCGCAGGGCATGGGGGACAGAGACAGATAGAGATAGAGACGCAGGGACAGAGAGAGGGAGGCAGAGGGAGTGTGCAAAGCTCTGCGTGAAACTCACCCTGTGCCCGGAGAGACCCTCCCTCTGTCCCTAGACAGGAAGGCAGGCAGACAGACAGACAGACAGACAGGCATGTCCTACAGCTACTACCCGACGCCCTCCACCCTCGTCCTGCGGTTCTGGTTACCTGAGGCCTCAGGAGGGAAACCTGGGAAGGCCCGCAGTGCCCCTGACTGTCCGCTCGGGGATCCCTGCCCGCCCAGCACAGGGACAGACCCTTCCCGGCCGCACGGGGCAGGCGCCCATCACGGCGTGGGGGGGACGCCGCCCCCCAGAAGCGGGGCAGGCCTCACCTGCAGAGAGAGGCCAGCTGTCTGAGCTGACGGGCAGCCTCCCATGCGCCCGGCCCCATGGGCGAGAACCTCGTGGGTGTCGGTGGCCCTGGGCAGTCACAGGCTGGCACTTCCCGCACAACCCAGACCCAGGCCGCACCACTGTGACTCCCGCAGCCTCGCCGCCTGACCGCTGACATCCGACCCGCGCCTCCTGCTGGCCTTCAACTGGTTGGATCCTATTCTAACAGCCAGATCTGAGGAATCCCAGTTAGGCTACCGTGAGACCCCCCCCCTCCCCCGGGAAAGCTCCCTTCAGTCGCGTTTGATCCGTTGACACCAGGATCCAGCGACACAGGCTCCTTAGTGGAAACCCCGTTCACGTTCACAACTTAGCAAACTGCGCCCGAATGCAGGAAAACAGCTCAGAACTTCCAGACTGGTCCCCGCGTCACCCCAGACACGCCACTTAAATGCTCCAAGTCTCAACGTCCACACCTGCGGTAAGTGCCAAGGAGGCCTGCGCGGCGCGATAGCCCATCAACCAGGGGCCAAAGCCGCACCTATGCAAAGGGGTGCTACACACCCGGCCCGACGACGCTGGGGGGACACGCACGTGCAGGGGTCCCTGTCCCTCTATGGGCCCCGAGCCCAGGACCGCAAGACAGGAAGCCCTCCCTGCAGGCTGCTGGCCTGGGAATCCCTCAGCCCCCGCCCGGAGGTCACGTGGATGCAGAACCTGCCGAGACCGGTGGCACCAGGGGAAGAGCAGAGCAGGTCCTGGGCTGTCCTGTGACTGCTCGGAGCCCGCCCAAGCCTCCCGCTCCCGGGTCTGCTCGCCACCTCCATGGCGACACAGAAAGTCTGTCCCTGAACATCCAACTCAGGTACCTGCGGTCACTCCCCGGGTCCGCTGCGGTGACAGAGGAGGGCCTCATGCCCGGCTGGGGACACAGGTTGCTCCAGCAACACGCAGGGCGCCCACCTCGTCACGTGGCAACAGTGCTGGGGAGCACGGCCACGTGGATGGAGCGGGTCGGCCTCCCTGCCGGGCCCGGTAGACGTTTCCCGCCCCGGGAAGGACGGTGAGGAGACGGCACAAGTCAGATCAGAGGACTACGATGTTGAGCTCAACCCGCCCATCACCCAGTCTGGGGCCCGGTGGGACTAAGCCGTCACCTACGGGGGTGGGTGACCCCAGCGGCTCAACATAAACATATTGAATCCTCTGGAGTATGTGCCCTAACTTGACGGTTAGTGACCCCGGGGCTAAGGGGGTTTGAGAGGGTCTCCGGGGAAGAAAGAGCACCTGGCGTGTGACGGGGAGTCCCCACCGACCCTTGGCAAGCTGGCCCCGGCCACCAGCCCACCGTCCGCAGGAGCGCAGGCCGGGATCCGATTCTGGAAGAGATTTAATAAGAGACGGCTCGTCACTGACCGAGGGAATAAGAGTTTGCTTTTCCCATCAGGAGATGAGTCCTAGGATGGCAGCGCCAGTAATCCTGTCTGCTAAAGGGTGGCTGCAGATATTTTCCCCATCACTTTTTTTTCCTTTTTTTATCCTTTAGTTTAAACCATTTTTCTGATGCTTTTGTCTTTGGCCAAGTATTTTTTTTTTTTTTTTTTTTTTTTTTAGATTTTATGTACTTATTCATGAGAGACCCAGGGAGAGGGAGAAGCAGGCTCCCTGCGGGGAGCCCAATGTGGGACTCGATCCCAGGATGCCCTGAGCCAAAGGCAGACGCTCAACCCCTGAGCCCCCCAGGTGCCCTGTCTTTGGCCAAGTATTTAATAACTTTTATTGAGTCAGCAACATCTCCCTTAAGAGTATGGTCTTCGGATACAACTTGTCGAGGTCTCTGCTATTCCGCTGTGTGCTTCCGCTGGGCTCCCCGTGCCACCTGGGGTGTGATCTGGGGTAGCTGGAATGCACCGACGAGCTCTGCTCCAGAAGGCTGTCGTGCACGCACCATGTATTAAGTGCCTCTCCTTTCCCCACCACCTTGAAATGTCACATTTATGATGGATTAGGCCTCCACACATACTTGGAACTCTTCCATTCTTCGTTGTTCTACTAATCTCTTTGTCTATTTCCTTTGCCAGCACATTATTTCGGTGAGTGTTTACAGTAAGTGTTCAGACCTATAGATCAAGGGCGTGCACACTGGCTTTCTCACTTCAAAAACGTATTGGTGGTTCTCTCTTCTTCTCTTTCATATTTTCTCTTTCATGTGAACTTTAAAAATTATTGCCTCTCATTTCTACCTCCAAAACCAAAATCAAACAAGCAAAAATGTCATAGGAATACCTATTCGCGTGGCAACAAGTTCACAGGTTGATTTCAGAATAATGGACATTTAAAAAAAAAAAGAATGGACATTTTTATGATACGAAGTCTTCCCACTCAGAAACACAGCTATCTCTCGGATTATTCCAACCTCGAATTAAGTTCGTCAAAAAACTTCTTTAGTTTTGACTATAGAGGTCCAGCACATTTTCTGTAAAATTATTCCTGTAAATGTCCTATACATTTATTTATAATTTTATCATCATTATGAACATAATCCCGCTATTTCCACCTGTAATTAGTTACTGGTAGTATAAAAAAAAAAAGCTGGTTCATTGCAGTACAACTATCTTGTATCTAGCCACGTTAACTTACCAAGCGATTTTAGAATCTCCTGTTTTTCTAAAACAAATACTGTCTGCCCATAAGAATAATTCTGGCTCTTCTGTTTGAATATGTGTACCAATTTGTTTTCCTTCTCTTTTACTTAGAGTAGGAATAACCACTGCATCTTCTCAAAATTTTTTAAATTATTTATTTGAATTCAACTTAGTCAACGTAGAGTGTATTATTAGTTTCAAGGGTAGAACTTAGCGATTCATCAGTTGTATGTAACACCTGGTGCTCGCGACATCACGAGCCCTCCTTCATGCCCGTCCCCCAGTGACCCCATCCCTCCACTGCCCCCCTCCAGCTGCCCTCAGTTTGTCTCCTGTGATTAAGAGTCTCTCAGGGTTTGTCTCCCTCTCTGATTTGTCCTGTTTCACTTTCCCTCCTTCCCGTGACCCTCTGGGCTGTTTCCTCCAGTCCCCGTGTGAGGGAGGCCGTGCGATCATGTCTCTCCCTGGCTGACTCGCCCCCCTCGGCATCATGCCCTCCAGCTCCCCCCACGTCGGTGCAAATGGCGAGATCTCCCCCACCCCAAGGCCGAGTGACACCCGGGGTGCGCAGGGACCACGTCTCCTCCCTCCAGCATCTGTCCGTGGACGTCGAGGCTCCTCTCACGGCGCGGCCCCCGTGGACACGGTAGCTGGGAACGCGGGGGTGCAGGTGCCCCTCTGAATCACTGTCTGTAACCCTCAAATGCTTTCACACATCAATTGATATGATTTCACATATTTTCTATTTTAATTTGTCAGTGGAATTAATTACAGTGCCCTCTCCTTTAATGCTGCTGGGGCATCCTCACGTTCCTGGGGTCACAGTGCATTTTTCTTTAGTATGTTGTGGGATTCCAACCAACACTTCATTTAGAATGCTGCTTTCCTGCTCACGTTCTTCTCCTTGCTCTCTCCCTCAGGCTTCTATCTTCTCCTAGATGCGTGAGGCTAAAAAACATGTGCCACAGCCCCACGCTCCTGGGCGTCGAGAAGGCACCGTGCACTGTCCAGTGCTCCCCACTCAGGGAAGGGCTCCCCCTCCAGGGCTACAGGTCAGAAACCAGAAATTCATCCTTGACGCCTCCCTGGGGAAGCCCCTTTGAGCTCACCCCAAGCACCTCTGCCCCCCTGTACCCATCACCTTCCCTGTCCAGCCACTTTCATTCCACACTGTCACTGCCCAACTGTCTCCTGCACCCCTCAGACCCCCTCCTGATGCGAGCAATCTCTGCAGCACCCAAGCCTGGCCAGACTGGTCTCCCTTCTGGCTTCCCACTGATCCCCAAATAAAGACAGTGTTCAGAGAAAGGCCTACAAGGCCCTGGAGTTTGAACCTGCCCAGTCTGGTGTTGGGCATGGACATGTCACCCGCCATACACACACAGCCTCCCTCTGGGCTCCAGC